GATATTTAATGAAGAAATGTGGCTTCACATGAGCAGTAGAGTAAATAGTTTTCGCATAATAAAGTTGACGGTATTTACTTTATCTCGATCAACAGATTGATAACTTTTCAAATGCGCCTAAAGATTCCTGCAGTGGCCCCTTTGTAGTGTTTGATAACGACTGCAGTCTGCTAAACAAATGTGACGAACTGTGCTACTTCGTCACTTCTCGGCTCCCAGACGTTTTAGCCACTGCTGAAACTTTATTAAATTACGACGTAACTGCCAAAGAAGTAGAAATCAGTGGCTACTCGAGCTTCAGGTGTAATGGAACATCAAACGACCCCGGTTGCGTGGTCTTATACTTAACGTCTTCCTTGTGTAGGAGACTCGTGGGCACTTACCACAACGCCGATGGTCAGTGTGAGAATTTATGGTCTCCTATTCATCTAAAACGCAACGAGCGGCCAATGTGTGTGGTCTCTCACAATCCACTAAGCCCCTGCTTTGACTGCTTCTCGCATAGCCGAACTATATGAGCCGTTTACAGTTAGTGCTCATGAGCGATTTCAAATTACCTCGAAGACACTGGCCTGCGATCGAACGTCTCCTCGGTCATCATGAGCTCGAGAGGAAGTATACAAACATGATACTTGAAATTGGAGCAACACATTATTATATGAATCACCAGACGCCCATAACCGCGCCCTCGAGTAGTTCTTCAACAGCTGTGAGCAATAAGTGTATGACGTTTATATCCTGCAGCCGTTAAGATCGACTGACCCTCATAGCCAGCTCTGAGCTATCGCAGCCGTACACTGCTCCGCTGGATGCAGGTAACATCTAATGGAAGGCTGGCTTCACTCTAGCGGCCAGCCAGATAAGCAGGTATTTACCAAAGTATTCATCTGTCGAATACTGTTGGACTATCATTAAAGAGGCTGTGAAATCGTTGTGAGCCCCAACTATCAGGAACTCGGAACAGCTGAGTCACATTGATTAGGAAAGAAGTCTAACAATCTAGCTGGGCGGCAAAACAGACAATAGGATATATTCGTTTGGTCTACTCTGACGAAGATTATGAGGCGTACAAATGAGAGTGAAAGCTCAGCAGAAAGGCGTTAACAAAACTGCTTCGAAACTTTGAACAGCAGCCAGCGGTCACGGCATTATAACTCCGAAGAGGATCACTTCACCCTTGAAGCGACGCCTGAGGCCTGTGAGCAATGTGCCAGTGTTGGTGGGCACAGGTGCACAGCCCCCAAACCTCGAGTACGGATCGCGCGTCCCCATTGGTGGCACAATTTTGCTTCCGAACTTGCACGTAAACAGGTGTCTCTACCCAGTTCGACGCGTACCGTCCCAGCACAATTTATTAAACTGGATTGCAGCATTGAAAATGTACGTAAGGTGCTGGTCACTGTTGACTGAACCAAGCCAGCCTGGTTTGATGGCATCTATCTGCCAAGCCCCACTCTATTATCGGTTAGCACACACTTTTAGTGACTTGGCTGTTCAACAGGTCGCTATCCACAGGTTTATTAACGGGCGACTGAAAATGCTCATTCGTAAAGCCGATACCCAATGACGGTAACTAGTGCAAAGTAGATAATTACCGGACTATTAGTTTGACCACCGCTTTGGTAAAACACAGTTGATGATCCTAAACAAGGGTGTTCTACTGTTTCTCGAGTCGGAAATGCTCTTAATGCATAAAGAACAAGGCTTTTTGGGAGGTTGCTCACGCACCATCAGTCTGTTGGTGATGAGGTACGAATGTTTGCAAAAGCTGTGCAAGAGAAGCTGGTCGACATCATTTGCATTGCATTCAGTAATGCATTCCATAAGGTGAAACACGAGGCACTTCTCTACAGGCTGAGCAAATGGGGAGTTGGTGACTCTGTGCAACATTATATCAGGAATTTCTTAGTTGCTACAAAATGGATGGTCCAGGTCGACAACCATATGACCGACTGCTATCACTCGACCCGTGGCCTGCCCTATATAAACGTTCCGACTCAGCTTTACCGTCCACTTTGTGCGTTGTTTGCAGATACGTTGTGTGCGTGGAGAGAATTCAGCGAGCCCAATGGCTGTGAGTTAATTCGATGGTATATTGACCGCCTCTTCATCTGGTCTGCAGATGTCAACTTTCAAATCAACCCGGTGAAGTCGCTGTTCATGAGGTTGGGTAAGGGTAAACACTCTCCAACCCGAACTGCGGCCCCTCAAACGTTGTATCCCAGGACTTTCTTGAAAGACCTCGGTGTAATCTTACTGTGCAACCTAAAGTCCGTGGATGACACAAATATGCTTTACCAAAACTGGTTTCGTATATTTTGGGCGCTCAAGTGCAGTTTCAGCAGTTGGTCCGAACACATTGCCACTCGACATTTAGTCTTAATTATATGTTTAATGCTAGAGTGTGGTTCACCCGCACACTGTCCTATCACCCGGGACCATGTACAAATGACTGAGCGAGCACGGCATGTGACCACTACATTATGCGGTGTGCCGTACGAAGACGAGTGCAAGAGGCTTCATTGACGATTATAAATTGACTTCATCATGATGCGCCAGCTATTACACCTTTATGATACCCAGTGTTGAGGCCGCTGCTCCAATATGCGCCCACCAACCTGCACACGAGGACACCGGTACAAGGTATCAGTTTTGAAACGGGTAGCTCATAAAGTCTGCTTCGAACGGAGAGTGGTCAACATATGTACCAAGGTGACGCCGCAGGTAGTAAATTTAAGGTCAGAATTTAAAATTCCTTACTACCACTTTATCGATATGAAATATCGGAAATGATCGCCGACGCAGCTCGTCAATATACCTGAGGGATTATATTTGCAGCTACACAGCTACTTCTAGCTATTTATATCCATCAATTAATAATCAACGCAAGGTCCTGTAAGGACATAATTCAGTGTTAGGTGATATGGTTTAACAAGATAAATTTTTAAGACAGATGTATGCACTCCTGTGATGAGTTAGTTACTAAGTTATGGTAGTAAATGCATCTCGATTGCACTAAAGTCACACTTTATGAAGACACGATCGTACCCGCAGCGTCTCTCCATACAAGACGAATATTGAGCGCGAATGACTTTCTGAAGTCGATGCTTAAAACAGTGAACAACAGTCATAGGGCACAATTCGTTGTTCCTAGGCTGGGTACAGCGCCACACAAACTTCGGTTCCCAAACTCTAGCACACTTTAGGTCACTGCATTAGTACACAACGTATTTACCTTCTCGCTGTGGCGGTCATTAGGGATTTGTAACGACTCCTGTGCGTTACTACAGAATCAGCAGGTTCTGGGTGTAGTCATATCTCAACAGTGATAACGAGATCGCAAGCGTTATGGCAAAACACGGGTTTATGAGTAATTAAGAGCTCGTGAACATTGTAATAATAGGACGATAATTACTCAAATGTTATCAATCTCAGATCTTGCATTTCAGGCAGATTGCTTCGTCAAAATCCGGCTGGTTTCTCCAAGCGAAATCAACATTTATCTCGACACGAATGATAAAGCCATGGCGTCGAATTTATTGCACCTGCTCATCCTTTTATCACCGTTTTCATAATATGTTTGACTATCTATCTTTCTATTGACAGTGTCCATCTGAACTCTACTACAGCAGCAAAATATATAGAAGTCACATTATGTCGTGATCTCACATGGTCATATCATCTAAACGAAAAATACACCAAGTCAAGGGACAAAGGCTATAATTCACCGGACTAAGGTCTTCATTACGGTTTATCACCGCCTGTGTATTACTGCACTGGACGTATTGCTCATCTGTGCTATACCATGAGCTTTCTAACGGATAATCCAGTATGATCTACAGATCACTGAATCATCTTGCACAATGTAGCGGAATTAAAATGTTGGAGTTCACTGAGGACATCGTGCTAGGTCACGTTCATTCCTGATAATATGTGGCGTCCAAATCACTCACTAATACTAGTCACTCATACATAGTTTAGTTTCCTAATGTATCCTGACTTCTTCCACCAGACAAGTATGCAAAGCTACTCCCGTTTGCACACGGACTTACGCTTTGTCAGTTGTTCCCCGTTTGTCACGTTTCGTCAGGGATCAGAATTAAGTCAATCAAGAACTCAGTACCAAACTGAATTGATGTTAGCCCGTTTTTTGCAATTGCTGACGCAACACGAATTTGAGACTCTACCAGTCCAATTTAGTCACGCAATATACTCGGCTAAAATGTCGCATGGCCTTTACTCTTTTCGCGTTCGCCAGCCGTGGTAAGCCCTCCTAAATTACATTACTTCCGCCCCTATTTTACCTGTGTTTAACAAACGACTTGGCCCTAACCCATCGACACTACCAGATAAAGCCTGTATGTCTCGACAGAAGATATAATGCGCCAAAGTTGTAAAACCAGAATTAATCTGCGCAACTGAGTTGGGCACATTCTACGTGTCTCTCTGTTAACAAATTGTTGAGTCCACAAAAGCGCTCTTCATTTTATCAGCGTTTTCAATTCACCGTGTTGTGGTGCTCTTTTTGATCATCCTACGGGACTTGCTAAGCACCCGATATGTTGCCCGTAATATACCATGGTTTCCTTGCTATATCTTTCTTTACTTTTATATGTGTTGCGGTGCAGGTATTGTGGCCAAATATTCACTCTACGTGGGTTTATAAACAAGTTGTTGTTTGGATTTCCCAAATCATAATTTGTTCTGTGCTGTTTACTGTATTCTGCTAATGTTCGAACGAAATTTGTCTGCAAAACCTTATGTAACCCTGATTTTGCAGCTGCAGATACACACGATACTTATGTATCGAGCATTATTAACGCAAACCTAAATTTACCGAATGAATCCTGAAAGTCAATCACGAGCAAATTTCCGTCGTAAAATCATTCTCATATCCTAGTGCGCTTTTCGACAACGTGACGCATCTGAGAAATGGGTGCCACGAAAAATTCACTGTAATTACGTCACGCCGTGGAAAGTGTATAAGATTCAAAAGCTTCAACAAATTTTATCAGACATATAGCTGATAATGACCACAACGCATTTAGGGAATTCGTTTTACCCCGTCAAACACAAGAAATAAAAAGTAAACATATCATTAAAGCGTGGTCTAAATCGGAATATAACGAAAAGTTTTGGTGAAAATGAACTCATTCCATTTAACTAACAAGCAAGTAAATTGTCCAGCACGATCATCGCGGAACTTGTGTCCGCTTGTGTAATCGTTTAAACTTCACCAACACTTTTGTTTTCAATATTAGGAGGAAATAAAATTAACAAAAGCAAAGTATCTTTCAAGCTTCTGCGCATATCAACTGCTTACGCGCTAAACATTTGTAAAATGAGCAGTAAAATCTCTCTGTTTCTAAGGCTTGTTCCGTTTTCCTTTGGAGATCTCCCGCCAAATCCAGTCTTGATGAGCAATGACTGAAGTGTAAACTCCCGGAAACAATCCACAGAGAAGACTATCTCCAAAACTTGCAACACCAGCAATAAACCATCCGTTCTTTTTCGGCAACTGACAGTATAAGCCACTGCCGCTGTCAACGGGGCACGATTTCTGCAATAAGTAAAACGTAGTACAGTGTAGACTGCAATTATTTACGTGGTGTTTTTGGTGTCTAAGTATATTCAACATGTCTGAAGTCGTTTGGTTATTGTCCGTCCAGTTCAAGCAATTCTCTCATAATACATCCATGAATCGCGAGATTACCTTCTTTTACTAATGGGTGGCCACATTCGAAACTTCTAACATGTCCAGTAATGCTAAAGGGCACAAACGCCTAAAAGTACGCAAGTATATTTGAGAACCGAAGTATTGCAAATCAGAGCAAATTGAGGTCAGGTTATTTCTCCAGCTTGCTTGTGGGATCGCACTGATGCCCTACAAGAAGAAGCGAAGCTCGAGCACACAAAATCCTTTGTGAAAATAGCTTGCGCAGTTAGTTTGGAGCATCAATAAAGCATATATGGTGGTTGGGGCTATCTACTCATGTCTTTTATTTTCTCCGTAACTTTATCAATGAATTCCAAGAAATGAATCCCAAAGAAATAGGTGTCATTGTTATAGTGTGTTTTTCACACAAAGTCAGATTTCTCAGCTATTTACATTACAATATGGAATACGAAATTTTGGTATATCTTCCGATAGCATCATTTCCGATTGCTCATTCACAGAGGTTCAGTGCGCGTTACCACTTGGCTATCTGAGTTTACAGACTATGCTCGCAACACATCGGGTTGCGCTTCGATAGATAATCTTAGTTACTCCTAGGTTTGAACAGGTAACCTTTACAGAAAAAATCAGCAGTGTTTGCAACGCTATATATTTCGCTATTCGCACTTTGAAGCATAATGGGGCCCATCTTTATTTGTTACCTTTCTTATGAGCAACATATTTTACCACAATCCGGTTCACATTGTTAGCCACCTGTTTTGTACTGTTGTACTAAATCAGTGGAAAATTGCCCTTATTCCAGCTTATGTGCGTTTGCAGCTGTAGTTGAATAGTCAACAGTAAAATATTTTTCTCTATTTGATGTTATAATTGCTGCAATATCTCCGTTAAAATGACAGAAGAGTAACCAAGATTTTGCAAGTACAATGGATTAACCTACTAAGAACACCCGGAATGATTTGCTTAATACAAAGGTTCATAAAGCTTGTAATAAAATATACACGTCAACCTAAACTTTCACTATTTGCTTACCATTCCATTTGCAACTGCGCAAATAATCATCTGTTCGCGGAGATCCTTGTAATGGTTCTTGCATACCTGGGGCATCCACACAGTCAGATTGACCTGGCGCAATATTTCCGGAGTCCATTCATCGTCATTTGTCTGACGTGTCTGCCGTGTCTGATGTGTAGTGCTTGGGTTTCCTGCGCTGCCCCATAAGCTGTCTACATGCTTAACGTAACCGTTGTCCCATGCAATAGCGTGGCACTCAGCACCGGTTTCCAGAAGATTGAGCTCATTTGGCAGGCAGGCGTAATTAATCTCCGGATCTGCGATAGATCGAATTGCTGCCATTTGAGTCTAAGCAAACCAACACCCACTAACATGCAGTAATCCAAATAAACTAAGCAAACCACGCTTAAATACCAATGAGAAGCCATTCCCTGCTAACCAATCCTAAGTACATTCTCGCCGGTCCGCGTCTTTCACCCATGGCGAATTGGCAGTAACATCTGGCAACCGGAGACCGTGGGGTTAAAACCAGCAGGGGATCATGATAAACTATCTGAATTATACCAACATCCCCACTACACATTAGTAATATAAAAACCTGTCCGTTTACGATTTAAGTCCTTGTGCCGTGCCAAGGCACCACGCGGAAGCTCCTAGCTCCTGTGGGTAACTGCTATCACATGCACAGTGCAAAACCGCCATGGCTGTGGAAAATGAACCGGGCTATATTATAGTCAACTGTCAATCATGCAGTTCCGCGGCTGTCACCCATGGCGAAGGGGCACTAGTTGCTGACATCCATAATTCATGAGGGCGGTACCATGTAAATGCCGCTGGAGGGAAAACCACTGAAACGACCCAAAATATCGAAAGGCCGAAGTCTGGTGCTTTTCCAGACTTGCCAAATCCTGCCGACTGAGAGTGACCATGATGGATTATCTGATTTATACCAAACTCCTAACAACGCATTATAAACCACAATAGGAAACCTGCCAAAAGGAATCTACGTGTTTGTGTATTTGAGTTGTGTCGGAGCAGTAGGCAACATGTGCACAAACGTGAATAATAAAACAGAAAAATACAGACTGAGTTTTTCTCTCTTTATGCTGCGATTGCCTATCGGTAACGCTAAGCGATTCCAAGCCTTCCGAGGACGCCGGTTCAAGCGTGCGTGCGTACCAAGCTACCAAACCAGTAGCTTGAGTGTACGCGCTACTGTTTGTTGCTTTGTGGCAGCAAAGTGTCGGTACTGCGTACCGGCGTGTTGGGGATGCCTCACTGTTGATGCCATGCATTAATCAACGTTAAAGCAAGCACTGTCGCACGGGAAGTGCGACACATTACATTCAGGAATGAGAAGTTACAATTTCGGGCCCGTACTTGATAGCCTAACAACGATCGATACATTAACATGTAGATATCACAGATTAGCTGCAGTCAGCCTCGGCAAATTTTGCAAAAGCAAACAGTTACCCTTTCTCGGTTCAGGTTGAAATTAAGATCTCAGTGAATTATCAACGTTATGCATCGAAGCCAGATTCAAGCAACAATTAAGACCATGTTTGGTGTAGGTTAATCCAAGTAGATAAACATTTGGGAAGTGTAAGCTTCAGTACCCACTGTCCACAGCTTTCTCATTTAAAGGTTATCTGCAATGAGCGAATCTACAGACAGCTGAGCCGGGTTCATTAAATTATTCAACAATCATCACAGCAAACCTGCTCTGTCAATACAATATGCACGTATGTGATAGGGGAAATGTCCTGTGACAGATCGAACACATCGAGATAACCATCATTGAAATAAATGATAGCGCTGTTAACCACAGTATTTCAATAAAAATGAGTCTTCAAAAACTTAGTGCCGCCCACACAGACTTAGCGCAAGCGTCGAAAACGGAAAGCATTACTCAGTCTTTAAAATCGTAGCTGTACGACTATTGGCATATATGAAGAAAGGGAAAATTTCGCCATATTTTTCATGATGCAGGCCTATTTTACCTTGTGCTGATAAGAGCGCAGTTCCCGCAATATGAATGGCTTGCATTTAACAATGCACCTCCATCCCCCATTAATTTGATGAACTAATATCTGAGGCCTATGATGAAAGAAGCAGTGACAATTTTGCTGTTGATTCAAAGCGCAAGAGGCTCGATTTCTGTGATAAGATAAATTGAAACCAATAACTTATCTTCCTAATACCTATGTTTAGTTTAAATAAACCTGATGTGCGAACAGTGTCTACTGCTTAAAAACGTTCTGTTGCCATGTTGATGTATTTGCGGTCAATCGTTCCGACCATGCGAATGAATTGCCAGTGGTTCTATACACAAGGCATAAGTAACATTAGCTGACTTTTATTGACCACATGACCATGAAGTAAGCCAGACAATGTAACTTCAAGCGAAAAGCGACCAAAAATGTAGCTTTCGGGTAAACACCTTTTAAGAATCATCGGATCCAACATACACAGCAAGTATTTGTGAGTACAAAAGTAATTAGAACACTCGGTAACCGAGCCTTTTGAATTACACACCATGCAAGGACGTCGACCACGCTAATTTTGTTGACCTAACCTCATCTTATGATGCATTCAAATAATGTTGAGACTTACAATCTGCAACCGGCTCTTTCATGTACAGCAATGCGATGTCTGCACCGTTGTTCTCTCTACCCGGTTGAAAAGCCGGATGCAAGATTACCCTTTGTATCGCGTATACTTGATAATACTCTTCTCCCGTTTGAATGTCCAGATCACCCACAAATGCAAGTATGGTTTCATTATCCAATTTTGCGTCCTCTTTCGATTCCATAAGCGAGTTCTTATCCACCCATTCGGTGACGCAATGCGCAGCGGTGATAATCCACTGAGGACCAATTAGCGTTCCACCGCAAAAGGTTTCTTGGCTCTCTGCTGTCCATGGCATCGACAAACGAACCTGTACATGGGGAAAAAACCAGCCTAAGATCAATATAGATCAGACCATTATAAAGACAATGAACGGTGATTGCACTGCACAAAATGTTTACATAAGTCATACTACCAAACTAAAATTAGGCAAGTCTTACATTGTGTGTGCTGAACACAATTAGGTGACAAATTTCAAGATTGACTCTGGTTTCTTTGTACGCCGCAGTAACTGTTTACACTGCTTAACACACATAACAGTGACTTCATATAATACAGTGAATACATTTAAAAAATTACGTCATAGAATATTTCATTAGGTTCCTTGCCTGTTTGTAAGAGCATTTCTGGCGAGGGTCCAGCGGCAGTCGACCAATTTCCCTGTTATCTTTGTTTTATTAGCGAGATTTCTTGGTGCAAACTTTTGCCATGTTCATCCTCAATCATAACGCGTTTTAAGATATAAATTCAAATCAACCTGGAAAAGGGTAGTTTTATAGACGGATTGCGCCAATTATCTACTACTAATTCAGCATGTCTTCCTCTACATCTTTATAGCTTTGTGCTCACCCCTTCCTAAAATGTTAGCAGACAAGAAGTACTCTAACCTTGCTTTACAACACCCAGTAGCGGATTGTTGAAACGGCAGTAATGTATATATATATATATATATATATATATATATATATATAAATCACTTGTCTAATAAACATTTGGCAGAGTGCCACAACACATGAGTAACAATAACAAAAGCAGGAAGTGTGAGTCAGCTGAAGGGATGGAAAGTTTCGGCTATAATGTCATTGACAACTCATCCCTGTAACTGGGGCCGAGCATCTAACGGATGGCGATGGACAACCTCTCAGTCAATCGGCTTCTCTGTGTACTGCTTCCGATCACAAAGAAGGCGAATGAGCCATTTGACTGTCAACCATCTTTCTGAAACATTCCGCTGTCTTCCGGGTCAGGACATTAGACCAGAGGTGAGGTCCATTAAGTCAACACTCTTCCTCAGCCTGGGCAACCGGGAAGCTCAATGCCCGCACTGCATATGGAACAGTACGTGATCGACTTTAAATAGCTGTCGAGCCTGAAGACCCACAAAAAGTCATCCTGCATTTTTGATTTGCTGTCGTGGGAAGTTTATGACGCTGATATCAGTACGCTGGTGCTATCTAGTCCATTATTTTCACGAAGTTCTTCACCAAGCCTAGTGTGTTTTTTGGCGGTGGTAGTATTATTTTATGAGCCCCTACCAGAGCTGTGAGTTGGACGTTCTCCCCTACAATGCTTAAATGATCCGTGCGTGTCCATTCTGTTAAAAATGTTGCAAATTCTATGCTCAAATATCCAACTCGCACCAAAAATAGCAGCAATTTGTGTATCCTAGTTTCAACCCCGTTAAGTCACCACTGAGATGTCAGTCTTACTTGATATACACAACAGAATTCAACAACTGCCTTAGGACTACAACTTCAGCTGCTGGGTCGAGGAAACTTCGCAGGAAACCACATTGCAACACAGTTGCGTTCGGCTGTTAAATCCCAGAACCGACACAATTTCGGAAACACGAAATATAGAATACAAAATTCCCGATGAACTTATAAGCCACTAGAAATTTCCTAAACAATTTGTAATCAAATTATTGTCGAGAACAACAAAAAGCCGATTTACGCACTTGCATTGGCGGGGTCTGCAAATTCTGCAATGGTGCCGTCCTGGTAGATTATGATATCCACTGCAGCTGCTATGTACTTTCAAAGTTATTATATCCTTTGTTTTAGTGAACCAATTATATTCTTACCCATGTTGTCATATAATGTTGATGATTTGAGTTTTCGAAACAACATAGATCATCAAGTTCCCGGGTGACGGAACTTGCAGTGAATGCGACACCCATGCTTCACTGTTGTCATTATTCCAGTTATACACCGAAACACTATACTGTGCTAAGCCGTTTTGCAAGTTAATCTATCCCGCGTTGGGAGAGATTTGCTGCTTAATGTAATCCCGTACCAGAATGAGGAAATAATTGTGTTAATACCAAAGTATTCCCCCAGATCTAAGCTTTAATGATGCATAATCATCATTTTCATAAGCAATTCAGGTTCTGGGTTTTCAATAGCGCATTTAACAAGCCAAACCTCATCCTGACTGCAGTGCTTACTCTCCATCAGACCAAGTCCGTATTTCTAGAAATTTTAACAGCGAATATATCACTCCGGACTCAATAAGTAAAACGGCTCTTTTGTGTACGGCAACAATATTGTAAATAACTTCAGAAGAATATTCAAGAAAAGTTTCGGATAGAAAGTAAAAGCGTTGTGCTAGCTGACAAGTAGAACTCTATCGCTGTCTCATAAACAGCGCACACATTTTCGTTACCCTGTCCAGAAATATACGCTAAGTTATCAGGAAACTTGACCATTTTAGCAATATTTTGCAGTGAAGAGAATTTCTCAATATACTTATAATGATGTTGCAAAACTTTGATTGCATACCCACATGAATGTTGAACACATTAATCTAAGTTGCGACGGCCACCTTAGATACGGCCGCCTAAGAGAACTACCACATCGTAGTAGAGACGTTATCAACAAACTTAATGCTAGTCGTGGTAAATCCGTTTCAAAGCCCTCGCCATGGTCAATAAGATCATTTAGCTGTCGTCTATTGTATATAAACCAATCTAGGTGTGCGATTTCATAACTCCAAGTTGGCACGTGTATACAGCTCTGAACACAGCGCCGTTCGAGCTACAAATGTTGCAGAGCATCTTGCTTTAGTGTTATGTCCAATTTAGAAAGATCCGTAGAGTTCCTACCGGAAACGACATTGAAGTTGACATAAGGTTTAAAAAGGACACTGGCTCATGCAATTCAGTGAACCTCCACACTGGATCCATTCGCATCTAGTTAGTTCCGACTGGAAAAGCGAGCTGTTTTCTATTTACAAGCGCGCAACCCTTGGTAATTTCATGCATTATATGGTAAATAATCGCCTCGAGATACTGATTAATGTGAACTATGTTACGCTGATACAGAGACCGTCCAAAACTGTTAAGCAACGGAATCGTTCATCAGAGAAGAGTAGGTGAAATTATTTCAACTGACATTTTGTGTTCCATGGATAAAGACTAGTCAGACCTAAGCAAACATCTCACAGACTATAGTAGCCTCTGATTTGATCTGTGTCACCACTGAGAAATTCTATTCACAAATAACTGATTTTCTACTTCGTTGCTTAAGCAGCCGTGGAGGAGAAAAACAGGCATATAAACATAAGATTTTCCTTGGACTGCTGTCAATGGTTAATTTTCGTTGATGCTTTGTTGTAATATGTTCCGCAGCGTTTGTGTAAAGTACTAGAAATGCGACAACATGAGCGCATAAAGCTTGTTACTATTTGAATTGATTTTAAAAAAGTTAAGTAAAACAGTGGACAGAAACGTAAAATCAGGGGCAACAATCCTGTGACAAGTATCGCAAGATCTGTAGGCATTTATTCACGTGACTAGAACAAGACGACTAGGTTGTTACCTAACACCAACATGCCAAAGCAAAATCCAGCGATTATGGTATTTACGAATCAATCAATCGTGCTGATTCACAAGCAAAGATAATATCCTGCGGGACATATCTCTGCCAAAGAAGCGCTTTCCAATTAAAGCATTGTTTTATGCGCATGATTACGGCCCATTATATTTAGCAAATTCATGGAGTATTACGATATGCTTGCATTAAAACCATCTGGCCGTCTGTTCAACATTTAGATTTCTGACGGCTGGCTTTCAATTTATCAGCTATTGAACTGGAAAAATATCTGGTTTAATCAACGAAATATCCGACACAATAGAAGTACAGCAACACCCGGTGCACTAATGGTCTATATAGACAGATCTAAAAGCACAGCACAGGAGCAGCCCGGATTCCTACGGCGTCCGTCATGTGAACGAATTTACTGATTGAGGGTGGCTGTTGGAACGTAACTGCCAACAGCGGGATCGAACATGATTTCATGTATCCCAAATACCTAAAGCAGACCACTGCTTAGATGATCGAATCCTTCCACAAAATATCACATCTAAGGCAATAGGTGACGTGTTCTTGAATGGATCAAACATTTTCTCCTTCAGCGCTGCCTCCAGCTTTGGGTTCGGAACCCATTTTCTGATCTTATCGAAGTGGACTGTGGTGTTCCACAAGGGTCAGTGTTGGGACCCTCTTTACTCCGGTATTCATCAACGTCTCAGTGCTTGTACTCATAAGGAATTCAGTTTTTTGCGAATAAGATCAAGATATGACGGGTGATCGGAAGTCGGGAATATCACGATATGCTGCAACGAGACCAAGTACGTGTTCTTAGAAGGTCAAAAATAAATGTACTAACGTGTAACGGAGGCAAGTGCAAAGCTGTACGTGCATACCACTAGCCCAATTACGCATAAAAACGTGAAGCCTACTTGCTGAAGACCGCCTCACATACGCACGACCATGGGGTGGAGGTGCAAAACCATCCCGACTGTTCGGCGCAGTCCTCGCAGGCATCCAATACCTCGAACAAACATGTTGGTCTCATACGGAAGATGTTTGGGCGGTTCGGGCCCTCAATCTTCCACCAAATACTCAACGCCAAATGAAGGCCGCATGCGGAGTATGCGATTCGAGCATGGCAATCTTGATTACAAAGCATCTGCTGAATTGGAGACCGCACAGAGAAGAGCAACCAAAAACTTGATGGGATGGTCCTACCTGACATACCAAGACAAACAAAATCCCTTGGGTTTTGTAGCGGAAATTATCGCCATCGATGATGCGATCTCTTTCTTGCGTACCATATTATAGAAACACTGGTCATGCATGTCGCCGCATCCCGAAACTTATCAGCGACATCAAATTGAGTGGTCATCACCTAAAATTGGCCACACAATACCGTAGGCTGAAATGCTGCCGCAACTATCTATCCTTTCGAATTTGTCAACCGTGGAACGCTATTTCGACTTTTGTTATTCCTTCGCCCACGTTACCTATTTTTAGAGAACAAATCTACGGTGCACGATCGATATGCAGCAGTGCATTTAAACCGGTGGACGATTAAAAGCACGATTTAATTATTCCTTGATCCTTGCTATTTTAATTTTAACTCCTATCATCATACGGGACTTGTCAAGCACATGCTTCTCATCAGTCATAAATCATAGTTCATTATTCGTTTTCGCATCTTCATTTGAATACCGGCATTGAGTGGCGTGGAGACAAAAACCCAACTTGGGCTCATCAAACCCAAGAAATTTAAGTGAAGATGAACATATAGGTTAACGTGGATATTATGGTGACTCCACAGATTCGCCTGCCATTTTTGTGTTGGTTTTACTTAAACTTAAAGTAATTCAAACCGACCAACCCAACGTCCTAGCAGGCCTTGATTTTCTCGCCCTATCCAACCAGTATTGCACTGTTTCATTTGATCGGGGCTCAAATGTCAGTGTTGTAGTGCAATAATAAAGTGATTACTAAGTGATCCAACACAGTTTTTCATTCACCTCAACTGTGTACAATAAATATGTTGCCGTTTGCTAAGGTTTGCAATTATCGCTGTCTGTATCGCCCTCCGAATGCAGTGGTCATGCTAACCCCCACTGGCATAATCATGTAAGCAGTGTTTTAAATACATGTAAACCGACACACATAGTCTATCACAACAATGATTAAACTCACGGCCCAAGGCCAAAGGATTGGCTTGGTGCTTGAAAGAACCAGTCCATTTGCTGCGGCTCCCATATCCGCCGGTCGAACGCCACAATTTGCCAGCATTGCTGAGTGAAAGGATAAGCACAAGTATTTGGTTGCCAGTCTGAGAGTTACAGGTGGGAAAAGGGGTCTATTAAGATTGTATTTGTTCTTGGAATCTATCGAAACATTTGCTGAGTCAAAGTCTATTGAATTCGCGAGTGATACTGTGAAACAACATGATTCTTATACTTGACTTAACTTGCTCAGTTGACAGCGCATCGTACTTAACAAATCCTTTAAAGAAAACAAGACTTCTGCCATGTAGGCTTTGTCAAATACCTTCGTATTCACGAAACGTTAAGCGAATCACAAGCAGTGCTTTTGCTAACAACTAAGAGGAAGCGCAAGTCTGTTAGGATGCCGATGTCCAACGTGTGTCACAAAAAGAAATCATGTGACAACGGGAAACTGGATGGTTTGTTTTGATATAACTACCCAGCTTACCAAGAAACAGACAGGATTAAATGATGCGTGTGTAGCAAACCTAAAACCTTATATTTTATGTTTTTCCCAAGTACCATTTCGATTAGTGTTTGCCAGTTCAGTTTGAGCATATGTGGTTGGTTTCTTTTCCATTTCATCCGGTTAGAAAACGAACGAAACTTTACCACCTCAGAAGCAGCAATCCTGGAACCGTAGACAAATCGTGGACACAGGTTTATCGCAGGTTTCAAATATTCCCTATGGTAGGGCATGTAGATATGATTTTTTAGATACTGATCGCAAAAGTGAGTACGTAATTGCGTCTGTCTTAAAAATAGTTTGGTCAGCGCACATTATTTAGATGCGTATAGGCACTTGAACCACACCGCTATTCACACCATAGTAACACATTTAAGTATAAGGAGACATTTATAAATGGCATGCTCAATTTCATTTACAGTTATGTCCGATTTTAAAGGGATTCATTGTATGGGGTCCATATCAGTTGAGCACTTACCATGTTGAGTACACTGCGCCATATTTTGGCACGTGCGTACTTCCATATATAATCTAGTCGTACATTTTGCTTTCCCGTATGTATTGCGATTAATTTCCATCCAGGAATCGTCGACGCACTCTCGATAGCGCTTCTGAAAACACTTGTGTCGCTCACACTTGGACCAATTCGACCAGTTGCTGTAACGATCCACGTTAACAATGAAAGCATCTGAAGATATCTGTTGGAAGTCTTCCACATGTTTGAAAGCAGTTGACTGCATCTGTTTACGGAGAACCAAAGAGGAATGAACGTTACAGAAGAATGGTTTCAGTTGATGTATTGCTGACAGAAACATACAAAGGATGAACTTTTGGCATTCTTACGCTCCCATTATCTAGCCTGAGATGGAAATGGCCTGCGATTGACAACAAATGGTAATAAATTCGTGCGTTAGATGAAAAAACCCCCCACAAGTAAATAAACAGTTGTAACAAAATAAGCAACTGGATACAAGATCGTTCTTCAATTCTGCCAGCCCACAAGGCAGTTAGTAACCATTCGTGTCAATTTGCTACGGTGTTGCATCTTCACATATTGGAATGAGATATTTATCTGCTGTATGGTTTGCTGAACTTAGGTAATAACCTCTGTAAATATCGTCTGTAGAAATCGGTTACACCAGGCAAACACATCACTTATAACAGTGGGCCGACAATAACTTGCTAAAAGTCGAAGCAAGATGTTAGCATGCGGTATCCTTCAAGCATACCGATTGATCACCAATATACACAATAAGTTTGGATAAGCTATGGAGGCGTTTCAGCAGCTCAACAGCATTATCATTTAGTAATAGGGGTGAAATTTATTAGGCGCAGTTGGGTTGCAATCGCTCTTTGCATGTTTAATTGAAGGTAGCTTCAGTGTAAAGCGTGTTTCCAGCTGATAAGCTGAGTGCGTGTTTTAATGAGTTATTGCACTTCCATTCCGAAAAATTTTTAAAAATGACCTTATTTACCGCATGAATTCATCCGGCTAGCCTACCTTTGCATTTGTCTTGTTGTAAAAAGTATTTCTTGTCATTGGGTTGAGACTCAGAATCCTCTCTTTGTTTTCCGACAACAAACCTTTGTGACGAAACATATTTTGTTCACTATGAGATTCGTAGTGGTACCCAGAGTGGATGAGACCAATGGTTTTGCTTCTTGTACACACTGTATATGAGCACCAAAGTAAGATGTAAGAAGCAATCCACTGTAGACTGTTCATTTTTCCAAGGAGATGGCCTGAAACTCTGTCGGAGACGGATTCAAGTGCTCTTATATCTCACGAAAACAATGATGCGCATTCCTTTAAATCTCGGCTATCACCTCTTAAAATGGGTTAATCGGTGAGTAAGTACAAGTTTATACAAGTGCATCGGAATGCACACCCTTAATTTAGACAATCATCAAAACTTATGTTGACCTGAATGGATGTGAAATTTACGTGCTGATCAACATTCACAAAAATATTCGCGTGTGAATCTTCCGATGCTAAAATTCCTGAGTTTGGGTAAGCGATGCCATGCAGCACAACTCCATACCGAAACAGACCGTTTCAATACGTTCACTACTTCGATGGCTATGCTGAATACAACAATTTCGTTTGTTTCTGACATCTACAGTTTTGATTTAGTGATTAAAATTGGAATGAATGAGTAAAAAAGCGGTACCTGTCGATGATTTAGCTATACAATGTGATTGCAAACTTCTTCGGAATAGTATTAACATTGATCCGACTTTTTCGTTTACTCAAGTAATCAACATAGCTACTAGGACCATTGAATGTTGTAGCTTTAATCAGGATCAACAATCATTCGTTTGCACTGTAATTGAAATCGCTCTACGTGTTCATATCAAGGTCATACCAAATATATATTTCAAATTGACGGGTGAACACAATTTCTTCTAGTTAATATGTTGCTTGCGTCGAGGAAATCATTGCTTTAAAGCAGATTAAACCGGTGTCCGTGTATCACTGATTCTGATAAATTTGACTTCAACCAGACGCAACACATTTGAGATAATTTGATGAGACACCGTTCAAATCACCAATGAATTAGCATCACATATTACAAGCACATTTATGTGGTTTTAATGCTAATGCGTTGCATCTATTTGCGCTCGGTCTCACAAACATGGTGCGCATCCATTCACTGCAGTTCATTATTGGTTTTGCGGCGCGAAACCCAGCAATAACAGAACAATGAAGAGTAATGTGTCACGGTTAAAGAAGCAGTCACCTGACAAGTATCGCAAGATGGTAGGGGTAAAACCGCAATGGCAAAAGATGTGTGAGTCGTCTATTTGAGTCTCCATTGAGGGGATGCGCCGTTGTATAATGGTAGTGTAATTGAGAATTGTATGCAACCAACAAGACCACATGGAGGCAGTTAATGCTCGCCCATGTATCGCCTCCTTAAGCTCACGGGAATTATGCATCCGACAAATGGCCTACTTAGGATATTTCAAATATTAAGTAATTTCAACTGTTGATTAATATATTTCAAGGCAAAAATTTGTTAGGATCCAAGGGCAACATTTAACAAGTTTTTGTGTGTATCCAGGGTGGGCGAGGAAATCTTTGAGTTTGAAACAGAGTTCCAGGGTTGACAAACCCGAAGAAAAACTTTACAGACGACTGCATTGTTCACTCTGTTTCAAAAATTGTGCCGCAAAAGGTGTTGTTATAGCTTAATTTCAGCAAGTGAAGTAATACGTGATGAGGATCAAACGATATTCCTTACACTAATTTGAGATCGCTTCACAACATTCCACAGCGTCCATTGGAAACTTCCAGGGAATTTTGTCTTTTCCGTAGAACAGATTTCGTGCACACTTGAAATTATTTGTAGCCCTACGCTGTGGTGACTGCAGCAATTCCAGGTCGCGCTTCAACTAAGATTGTCAATCTGGAATGCGTATCCAAATTGACGGCCCAATTAGTAGTTTTGCACAATGGAGATTTATGTGTAATTAATCCCGTGAGCGCTGCGCAGCATTCCGACTTGCTGGTCGCCTATTTTGCAGCCTCTGACTGTTCTGAATCGTAATGACCAACTTGAATACCCACTCCAAGGTCGCGTTCTTAAGAATTTGTTTGCATTCGGTGTGACCCAAACAGGTAGACCGTGCCATGCCTATGTTGTAAATGAAGAGCGTAACATTTGTCTACATTGTATGGTTTGGTGTTCTGAAGTGACCAGTCCGAAATCGTGTTGTACTCAGACTGGAGCTCTTCTTGGTCTTCCAGTTCGCTAATCAATCTCCATATCTTGACAGTATCAGCGACGAAATGGAAATCGGGAGTAATTGCCCACGCTATACTGTTTATGAAAAACCAAAAATAGTCGAGGCCTAAGCAATATGCGTTGGGTCACACTGCACTCCACTTCAATTGCGCCGGAGAGGGATACTCGTACTCCCACCTCCAAACACAATTGGTGCAGGAAATTGCCTGTCTAATGCTGGAGCCGGCCACAATTTTCATAGATCTGAATTTTATGGTGAAAGCATCCGTGGTCAAAGCGATCAAGCGCTTTTGATAACTCCGAGTATATGCCATTCACTTATGCTCCAAAACTAACTACTTCAGTTCAGCTGTAGCGTGCAATTAGCAAGTTAGTATGGCTTGAGCGGTTTGGTCAGAAACCATATTGGTCCGGTGATATAATGCTGTTGTTTTCCAGATAATGCATCGGTGCATTTGCGATGGTTGTTTCCATAGGTTTAGCAATCAAAGGAAGCAGTGTTATCGTACGCTAGTTGATTGGGTCAGTTCGGCTACCTTCATTATGAATACGGGTGATTATCCTTCAATTGCATGCGGCTGGTTTCGAGCTGCCATCTGGAAAGCGCTGATAGAATATAGCCAGTGGTTCAGCCAGCTCACCGGCTGCTGACTGTAAAGCCTTCGGTATAAACTTATCGACAACTGGATACTGAGAATGTGCGGCGAAATCAATTTCTTTGGCACAGCTACTTCAGTGAAGATGATATTGGATTAAGCTAACGGTAAGAAAGTAGAAACAAGGAGATTCATTGGACCTATTACAATCTGGAACGTATGTGATAAATGGAACCACAAAACATGGGCAGCTTCCGTTGCTGATCGCGTACACCCGTCGATAGTGACCAGTGCTGGAATTCCGCACTGCACTTTACTAAGACCATTAACATGCTTGTATAAGCGTTTCCGGTTCGATTCATTAACTCACATTGGTATATCATCCTGTCCTAGTGGATCAGTTTCAAGCAAATGTATACTTTGCCACGTAGGCAATCCGAGTTTTGGAATTCGGGAGTCCGTTTGAACTCTCCATCCTGTGTCCCTCAAGAACATACTTTCAGGGGTTCTTCTCTTCTAAACTAACTTGCTGCTTCTCTGATGATGGAGGGATTTCTGTTCCAACACGTGCACTACTAGTGTCCTAATGGTCCTGTAAACTTTTTCCGGACGCTATGTTGGGAGTATACAGTTGTGAAGGTCCAGGATGCTTACTGAAAAGGGGGCGGATAATTTAGTTGCATGATTGACATCCCTTTCCGGATATTCGACCCAACATACGTAGTCCAACAGTCTGGTGGTCGCTGAGACCTAGTGGTGTGCTTGAAACTATTTCGTAGACCAGCAGTTCTTTGTTGATGAGCACAAGATCAAGCATCGATGGCCTGTTAGTGGTTGGAAATCTAGGAAAAGAGTAGCGAAGTATTAGCCCTTACAAACAGGTTTTGAATTGCATGGTATCTATTGCCGCTATCTACAGGTCGTGCAAAGTAAAGTCGTCTGCGATGAAAATATGACTGCATGCCTTGTCCAACGCAAATTGCAGAACAACGTGCAGTTTGGAATCCAATTCAAACGTAGAGTTTGGTAGACGCTATATTACGGATATAAAAATGTGTCTTTGTTCTGCAACCACAGTTGCACTAAAACGAATCTGGAGCACATATTTATGGGTGATAATATCACATCGAAACTTAGCCTCGTATTACGGAATTATACCACCACCCCTTCTGGTTCAGTCGCTCCGAAGCAGCGGCATTCCAGGTAAATTGATTTTGAAATCAGCTAACCCTACGTTTAACCAAGTCTCGGTAATCATAATGAGATCTGAAGATAGGATAACCGAACATATATTTTCGATAATTCATCTACAGGCTTATACAAGTATATGCAAATCAAAATGTACAGACATATATTACAAGTCGTTACTACTGGAGCGAGTTAATTGGATGCTGACAGCGCTGTCTTTTAAGCCACGAAAATCGACCGCCTGTTCCCTCGTAGGTCAGAGGTCACCCGCCGTTTGGGCCAGGGCGGTCCCAAGAATTTAGTCAGCTTCTTCTAGACACATAGCTCCGGTTCATGCAGCCTGATCGCAATTACTTCAGCGACTTCTGGTAGTCGCTTGCGGACGTAGTTCGAGCGGTGCTTGGGGGCCTGATAGATAAGTTGAATGAATCAGTGAACGATGTGGCGTGCCCTGTATCGGCTAGGTGCGCGGCTATTGATGAGTTCGCTGTATTTCCATTTCCAGTTCTAAGCCCGAATGGGTGGTGTTCCTTCATTCACTCAGATATACGTCGTGTCGTACGACCAATGTATTCCGCTCCACAGGAGCATGAAAATGAGTAGATACACATTGAGTTGGTTGGATACGCCATTCCAGATTGACAATCTTAGTTGAAGCGCGACCTGGAATTGCTGCAGTCACCACAGCGTAGGGCTACAAATAATTTCAAGTGTGCACGAAATCTGTTCTACGGAAAAGACAAAATTCCCTGGAAGTTTCCAATGGACGCTGTGGAATGTTGTGAAGCGATCTCAAATTAGTGTAAGGAATATCGTTTGATCCTCATCACGTATTACTTCACTTGCTGAAATTAAGCTATAACAACACCTTTTGCGGCACAATTTTTGAAACAGAGTGAACAATGCAGTCGTCTGTAAAGTTTTTCTTCGGGTTTGTCAACCCTGGAACTCTGTTTCAAACTCAAAGATTTCCTCGCCCACCCTGGATACACACAAAAACTTGCCCTTGGATCCTAATAATTTTTGCCTTGAAATATATTAATCAACAGTTGAAATTAATTAATATTTGAAATATCCTAAGTAGGCCACTATGTCGGATGCATAATTCACGTGAGCCTAAGGAGGCGATACATGGGCGAGCATTAACTGCCTCCATGTGGTCTTGTTGGTTGCATCCAATTTTCAATTACACTACCATTATACAACGGCACATCCCCTCGATGGAGACTCAAATAGACGACTCACACATCTTTTGCCATTGCGGTTTTACCCCTACCATCCTGCGATACTTGTCAGGTGACTGCTTCTTTAACCGTGACACATTACTCTTCATTGTTCTGTTATTGCTGGGTTTCGCGCCGCAAAACCAATAATGAACTGCAGTGAATGGATGCGCACCATGTTTGTGAGACCGAGCGCAAATAGATGCAACGCATTAGCATTAAAACCACATAAATTTGCTTGTAATATGTGATGCTAATTCATTGGTGATTTGAACGGTGTCTCATCAAATTATCTCAAATGTGTTGCGTCTGGTTGAAGTCAAATTTATCAGAATCAGTGATACACGGACACCGGTTTAATCTGCTTTAAAGCAATGATTTCCTCGACGCAAGCAACATATTAACTAGAAGAAATTGTGTTCACCCGTCAATTTGAAATATATATTTGGTATGACCTTGATATGAACACGTAGAGCGATTTCAATTACAGTGCAAACGAATGATTGTTGATCCTGATTAAAGCTACAACATTCAATGGTCCTAGTAGCTTTGTTGATTTCTTGAGTAAACGAAAACGTCGGAGCACTGTTACAACTATTCCGGAGAAGTTTGCCATCATGTTGAATAGGTAAATCATCGACAGGTACCGCTTTGTATAAACTCATTCATTTCACTTTAAATCACTAAATCACGACTGTAGATGTCAGAAATAAGCGAAATGGTTGTATTCAACATAGCCATGGAAGTAGTGTACGTGTTGGAACAGTCTGTTTCGGTATGGAGTTGTGTTGCATAGCATCGCTTACTTAAACTAAGGAATGTTAGCATCGGATTATTCACACGCGATGGTTTTTGAGAATGTTAAGCAGCATGTAGATTTCACATCCATTGAGCTTAACATAGGTTTTGATGATTGTCAAAAGTAAGGGTGTGTATTCCGATTTATTTGTCTCAACTTGTACTTACTCACCGATTAACCCATTTTAAGAGGTGATAGCCGAGATTTAAAGGAATGCGCATCATTGTTTTCGTGAGATATAAGAGCACTTGAATCCGTCTCCGACAGAGTTTCAGGCCATCTCCTTGGAAAAATGAACAGTCTACAGTGGATTGCTTCTTACATCTTACTTTGGTGCTCATATACAGTGTGTACAAGAAGCAAAACCATTGGTCTCATCCACTCTGGGTACCACTACGAATCTCATAGTGAACAAAATATGTTTCGTCACAAAGGTTTGTTGTCGGAAAACAAAGAGAGGATTCTGAGTCTCAACCCAATGACAAGAAATACTTTTTACAACAAGACAAATGCAAAGGTAGGCTAGCCGGATGAATTCATGCGGCAAATAAGGTCATTTTTAAAAATTTTTCGGAATGGAAGTGCAATAGCTCATTAACACACGCACTCAGCTTATCAGCTGGAAACACGCTTTACACTGAAGCTACCTTCAATTAAACATGCAAAGAGCGATGACTACCCAAATGCGCCTAATAAATTTCACCCCTATTACTAAATGATAATGCTGTTGAGCTGCTGAAACGCCTCCATAGCTTAACCAAGCTTACTGTGTAAATTGGTGATCAATCGGTATGCTTGAAGGATACCGCATGCTAACATCTTGGTTCGACTTTTAGCAAGTTATTGTCGGCCCACTGTTATAAGTGATGTGTTTGCCTGGTGTAACCGATTTCTACAGACGATATTTACAGAGGTTATTACCTAAGTTCAGCAAACCATACAGCAGATAAATATCTCATTCCAATATGTGAAGATGCAACACCGTAGCAAATTGACACGAATGGTTACTAACTGCTTTGTGGGCTGGCAGAATTGAATAACGATCGTTTATCCAGTTGTTTATTTTGTTACAACTGTTTATTTACTTGTGGGGGGTTTTTTCATCTAACGCACGAATTTATTACCATTTGTTGTCAATCGCAGGCCATTTCCATCTCAGGCTAGATAATGGGAGCGTAAGAATGCCAAAAGTTCATCCTTTGTATGTTTCTGTCAGCAATACATCCACTGAAAACATTCATCTGTAACGTTCATTCCTCTTGGGTTCTCCGTAAACAGATGCAGTCAACTGCTTTCAAACATGTGGAAGACTTCCAACAGATATCTTCAGATGCTTTCATTGTTAACGTGGATCGTTACAGCAACTGGTCGAATTGGTCCAAGTGTGAGCGACACAAGTGTTTTCAGAAGCGCTATCGAGAGTGCGTCGACGATTCCTGGATGGAAATTAATCGCAATACATACGGGAAAGCAAAATGTACGACTAGATTATATATGGAAGTACGCACGTGCCAAAATATGGCGCAGTGTACCCCACCTGGTAAGTGTTCAACTAATATGGACCCCATACAATGAATCCCTTTAAAATCGGACATAACTGTAAATGAAATTGAGCATGCCATTTATAAATGTCTCCTTATACTTAAATGTGTTACTATGGTGTGAATAGCGGTGTGGTTCAAGTGTCTTTACGCATCTAAATAATGTGCGCTGACCAAACTATTTTTAAGACAGACGCAATTACGTACTCACTTTTGCGATCAGTATCTAAAAAATCATATCTACATGCCATACCATAGGGAATATTTGAAACCTGCGATAAACCTGTGTCCACGATTTGTCTACGGTTCCAGGATTGCTGCTTCTGTGGTGGTAAAATTTCGTTCGTTTTCTAACCGGATGAAATGGAAAAGAAACCAACCACATATGCTCAAACTGAACTGGCAAACACTAATCGAAATGGTACTTAGGAAAAACATAAAATATAAGGTTTTAGGTTTGCTACACACGCATCATTTAATCCTGTCTGTTTCTTGGTAAGCTGGGTAGTTATATCAAAACAAACCATCCAGTTTCCCGTTGTCACATGATTTCTTTTTGTGACACACGTTGGACATCGGCATCCTAACAGACTTGCGCTTCCTCTTAGATGTTAGCAAAAGCACTGCTTGTGATTCGCTTAACGTTTCGTGAATACGAAGGTATTTGACAAAGCCTACATGGCAGAAGTTGTGTTTTCTTTAAAGCATTTGATAAGTATGTTGCGCTGTCAACTGAGCAAGTTAAGTCAAGTATAAGAATCATGTTGTTTCACAGTATCACGCTCGAATGCACTACAATTTCTGACTCAGTAAATGTTTCTATATATTCCAAGTGCAACTGCAATCTTACTAGAACCCTTTACCCACCTGTAACTCTCGGACTGGCAACCAAATACTTGTGCTTATCCTTTCATTCAGAAATGCTGGCAAATTGTGGCGTTCGACCGGAGGATGTGGGAGCCGCAGCAAACGGACGGGTTCTTTCAAGCACGAAGCCAATCCTTTGGCCTTGGGCCGTGAGTTTAATCATTGTTGTGATAGACTATGTGTGTCGGTTTACATGTATTTAAAACACTGCTTACATGATTATGCCAGTGGGGGTTAGCATGACCACTGCATTCGGAGGGAGATACAGACAACGATAATTGCAAACCTTAGCAAACGGCAACATATTTATTGTACACAGTTGAGGTGAATGAGAAACTGTGTTGGATCACTTAGTAATCCCTTTATTATTGCACTACAACACTGACATTTGAGCCGCGATCAAATGAAACAGTGCAATACTGGTTGGATAGGGCGAGAAAATCAAGGCCTGCTAGGACGTTGGGGTGGTCGGTTTGAATTACTTTAAGTTCAAGTAAACCCAACACAAAAATGATACGCGAATCTGTGGAGTCACCATAATATCCACGTTAACCTATATGTTCATCTTCACTCAAATTTCTTGGGTTTGATGAGCCCAAGTTGGGTTTTGTCTCCACGCCACTCAATGCCGGTATTCAAATGAAGATGCGAAAACGAATAATGAAATATGATTTATGACTGATGAGAAGCATGTGTTTGACAAGTTTCGTATGATGATAGGAGTTAAAATTAAAATAGCAAGGATCAAGGAATAATTAAATCGTGATTTTAATCGTCCACCGGTTTAAATGCACTGCTGCATTTCGATCGTGCACCGTAGATTTGTTCTCTAAATGATGGCAACGTGGGCGTAGGAATAACAAAGGTCGAAATAGCGTTCCACGGTTGACAAATTCGAAAGGATAGATAGTTGCGGCAGCATTTCAGCCTACGGTATTGTGTGGCCAGTTTTAGGTGACGACCACTCAATTTGATGTCGCTGATAAGTTTCGGGATGCGGCGACATGCATGACCAGTGTTTCTATCATATGGTACGCAAGAAGGAGATCGCATCGTCGATGGCCATAATTTCCGCTGCACAACCCAAGGGATTTTGTTTGTTTTGGTATGTCAGGTGGGACAATCCCATCAAGTTTTTGGTTGCTCTTCTCTGTGCGGTCTCCAGTTCAACAGATGCGTTGTTATCAAGATTGCCATGCTCGAATCGCATACTCCGCATGCGGCCTTCATTTGGCGTTGAGTATTTGGTGGAAGATTGAGGGCCCGAACCGCCCAAACATCTTCCGTATGAGACCAACATGTTTGTTCGAGGTGTTGGATGCCTGCGAGGACTGCGCCGAACAGTCGGGATCGTTTTGCATCTTCACGCCATGGTCGTGCGTATGTGAGGCGGTCTTCAGCAAGTCGGCTTCAAGTTTTTATGCGTATTTGGGCTAGTGGTATGCACGAACAGCTTTGCACTTGCCTCCGTTACACGTTAGTACATTTATTTTTGACCATCTAAGAGCACGTACTTGGTCTCGTTGCAGCATATCATGATATTCCCGACTACCGATCACCCGCCATATCTTGATCTTATTCGCAAAAACTGGAAATTCCTTATGAGTACAAGCACTAGGACGCTGATGAATACCAAAGTAAACAGTGTCCCAACACTGACCCATGTGGAACACCACAGTCCACTTCGATAAGATCAGAAAATGAGTTCCGAACCTAAAGCTGGAGGCAGCGCTGAAGGAGAATATGTTTGATCCACCGAAGAACAGGTCTCCTAATTCCTTAGATTTGAGGTTGTGCTGAAGTTTTCGGTCATTCAACCAGTCGTCTGCTATAGGTATTTGGGCTACATGACATCATGTTTGATCCCGCTGTTGGCATTTACGGTGCAACAGCCACCCTCATTTATTAGATTGATTTTTCAAGGCGGACCCTGTAGTAATGTGCGCAAATCCTGTGCGATGCTGTAAGATCTTTCTAGATAGCCCAATTATGCCTCGGTCATGGTCGACTCCATAACCGTTGATTGCACCGGGTGTTGCTGTGCTTTCATTTTATACGATAATTTGTTGATTAGGCCAGATATTTTGCCATTTCAATACCTAATACATTGAAGGCAAGTCGCCGTATATCCAAATGTTAAACAGACGGCTACATGCTTTTAATACCAAAATATCGTAGTATTCCCTGAATTTTTTCAAATATAATAAGCCGTAATCTTGTGCATAAAACTATGTTTGATTAGAGAACTGTTCTTTGGTAGTGATTTGTCCCCCGGGACGTAACATTTACTTGTGAAGTGACACGATTGATTGGTACGTATATGCAAAGTCGCTAGATTTTGGTTCGGCATGTTTGTGTTAAGGTCAACAATCATTCGTTTGCATGTAATTGAAATCGCTCTACGTGTTCATATCATGGTCATACCGAATAAATTTCAAATTGACGAGTGAACACAATTTCTTCTAGTTAATATGTTGCTTGCTTCGGGGAAATCATTGCTTTAAAGCAGATTAAACCGCTGTCCGTGTATCACTGGTTCTGATAAATTTGACTTCAACCAGACGCAACACATTTGAGATAATTTGATGAGACACCGTTCAAATCACCAATGAATTAGCATCACATATTACAAGCAAATTTATGTGGTTTTAATGCTAATGCGTTGCATCTATTTGCGCTCGGTCTCACAAACATGGTGCGCATCCATTCACTGCAGTTCATTATTGGTTTTGCGGCGCGAAACCCAGCAATAACAGAACAATGAAGAGTAATGTGTCACGGTTAAAGAAGCAGTCACCTGACAAGTATCGCAGGATGGTAGGGGTAAAACCGCAATGGCAAAAGATGTGTGAGTCGTCTATTTGAGTCTCCATCGAGGGGATGTGCCGTTGTATAATGGTAGTGTAATTGAAAATTGGATGCAACCAACAAGACCACATGGAGGCAGTTAATGCTCGCCCATGTATCGCCTCCTTAGGCTCACGTGAATTATGCATCCGACATAGTGGCCTACTTAGGATATTTCAAATATTAATTAATTTCAACTGTTGATTAATATATTTCAAGGCAAAAATTATTAGGATCCAAGGGCAAGTTTTTGTGTGTATCCAGGGTGGGCGAGGAAATCTTTGAGTTTGAAACAGAGTTCCAGGGTTGACAAACCCGAAGAAAAACTTTACAGACGACTGCATTGTTCACTCTGTTTCAAAAATTGTGCCGCAAAAGGTGTTGTTATAGCTTAATTTCAGCAAGTGAAGTAATACGTGATGAGGATCAAACGATATTCCTTACACTAATTTGAGATCGCTTCACAACATTCCACAGCGTCCATTGGAAACTTCCAGGGAATTTTGTCTTTTCTGTAGAACAGATTTCGTGCACACTTGAAATTATTTGTAGCCCTACGCTGTGGTGACTGCAACAATTCCAGGTCGCGCTTCAACTAAGATTGTCAATCTGGAATGGCGTATCCAACCAACTCAATGTGTATCTACTCATTTTCATGCTCCTGTGGAGCGGAGTATATTGGTCGTACGGCACGGCATTTACCTGAGTGAATGAAGGAACGCCACCCATTCGGGCTTAGAACTGGAAATGGAAATACAGCGAACTCATCAATAGCCGCGCACCTAGCCGATACAGGGCACGCCACATCGTTCACTGATTCATTCAACTTATCTATCAGGCCCCCAAGCACCGCTCGAACTACGTCCGCAAGCGACTACCAGAAGTCGCTGAAGTAATTGCGATCAGGCTGCATGAACCGGAGCTATGTGTCTAGAAGAAGCTGACTAAATTCTTGGGACCGCCCTGGCCCAAACGGCGGGTGACCTCTGACCTACGAGGGAACAGGCGGTCGATTTTCGTGGCTTAAAAGACAGCGCTGTCAGCATCCAATTAACTCGCTCCAGTAGTAACGACTTGTAATATATGTCTGTACATTTTGATTTGCATATACTTGTATAAGCCTGTAGATGAATTATCGAAAATATATGTTCGGTTATCCTATCTTCAGATCTCATTATGATTACCGAGACTTGGTTAAACGTAGGGTTAGCTGATTTCAAAATCAATTTACCTGGAATGCCGCTGCTTCGGAGCGACTGAACCAGAAGGGGTGGTGGTATAATTCCGTAATACGAGGCTAAGTTTCGATGTGATATTATCACCCATAAATATGTGCTCCAGATTCGTTTTAGTGCAACTGTGGTTGCAGAACAAAGACACATTTTTATATCCGTAATATAGCGTCTACCAAACTCTACGTTTGAATTGGATTCCAAACTGAACGTTGTTCTGCAATTTGCGTTGGACAAGGCATGCAGTCATATTTTCATTGCAGACGACTTTACTTTGCACGACCTGTAGATAGCGGCAATAGATACCATGCAATTCAAAGCCTGTTTGTAAGGGCTAATACTTCGCTACTATTTCACCAGATTTCCAACCCTTAACAGGCCATCGATGCTTGATCTTGTGCTCATCAACAAAGAACTGCTGGTCTACGAAATAGTTTCAAGCACACCACTAGGTCTCAGTGACCACCAAACTGTTGGACTACGTATGTTGGGTCGAATATCCGGAAAGGGATGTCAATCATGCAAGGAAATTATCCGCCCCTTTTCAGTAAGCATCCTGGACCTTCACAACTGTATACTCCCAACATAGCGTCCGGAAAAGTTTACAGGACCATTAGGACACTAGTAGTGCACGTGTTGGAACAGAAATCCCTCCATCATCAGAGAAGCAGCAAGTTAGTTTAGAAGAGAAGAACCCCTGAACGTATGTTCTTGAGGGACACAGGATGGAGAGTTCAAACGGACTCCCGAATTCCAAAACCCGGATTGCCTACGTGGCAAAGTATACATTTGCTTGAAACTGATCCACTAGGACAAGATGATATACCAATGTGAGTTAATGAATCGAACCGGAAACGCTTATACAAGCATGTTAATGGTCTTAGTAAAGTGCAGTGCGGAATGCCAGCACTGGTCACTATCGACGGGTGCACGCGATCAGCAACGGAAGCTGCCCATGTTTTGCGGTTCTATTTATCACATACGTTCCAGGTTGTAATAGGTCCAATGAATCTCCTTGTTTCTACTTTCTTACCGTTAGCTTAATCCAATATCATCTTCACTGAAGTAGC